TGTACTTGATGTTATTTTCATAACTATACATAAAGACAATAATAGTACAATTAGCTTAAATATCCCATAAATCCTTAGTTATAGCACATAGCTATATTTTGATATATAAGTCTTTGGCGATCCTTCGGCTAAAAACCGGCACTCGGCGTAAACTCATAATAAGCCGAGGTACGCCCCTGCGGGCTGTCCACTCATTTACATAAAATGTTATACTATTTTGACAATTACTATGGAAATAAAGTCAGTTGTTGTTGTTTTTTGTATTTCAAACACAGAAAAAGGTGTTCCTTTGTATATGAAAAGCTTATTAACGTATATCTATGGAATATATACATGTATTGTATATTTTAAATTTTAATATTGTGCTGATATCATCGTTAAATACTTCATCACACCATATTAAGTAATTCAATATCTTTACAGGAATCGGAAATTTTTATGTGTTCATTCGCCGGCATTATGACAAATCGTATAGAAGACGATCAGCTTCATGTCGTCACGAGCAGGTACGCAAGGGAAAGGCTGTGGGACATTCTTTCTAAGTTTCGGCAAATTGCAAAAACATGGGTCTGAAAATTACATATCATACATGAAGTACATAGCTGTCTGACATTTCTACATACGACTTGAGTGTCTAAGATGGAAAGAACACAAAGAAATGGTTACATGTAAAAGAAAAGCTATTAAGAAAAAGATGTAAGATACAACATATTGTCCCATTATTTGCTATAATTAAGCAGCAACATACAATATACCCTTTGTGTTGAGAAATGAACGCATTATATATGTTCCTAAATAGGTACAATTAAAGTACAAAATTTATATGAGGACAAATGTTATGAAACCCGGTTGTAATAGCTCCAACACCGTTAACATAACATGGAAGCCATATTTACATCAATTATCTAATAGTATTTCTAAAATTCTAATGTGTTTCAGTTGTTTCAGAGCAAACAACCATGGCGGAGCAAAACTACATCAGTGCAAAGAATGTGGCAGTTGTTTGCGACATAATCTGAACTTGAGCAACACAAGTTATTCCATGCTAACCTACTCTTAACTTGCAGCATCTGCCCAAAGCTTTTCGAACTAGTATTGTATATGTAAATAATTGAAACATTTATTTTGCTGGTGAAATAAATTCTATATAATGTACATGTTTGTATTTTTTTTGTATTGTAAATACTTTTAAGCTGATGTACACGTGTGTTATCAAAGCAGAATACTATTAAGATGAGAGTTTACAGCAAGCAAACTGAATTCATTTAATTTAATACTTCTTCCTACTTTTCACTTTCAAATATCATATTTGTGTGATTTCAAAAACAGGAAGCGAGAAACAATCATAATTCAATGAAAAAAATTGACGAAATAGGACAGGCAATAAAATTGTTCGGCCATTGTACTCATTAAATTTGGTTCGACCATTGTGCTCGTTTTTTAAAAAGATGCACAACTTCGTTATGCAACTTAACAAAGGATGGGATTTGTTCTTGACGGGCAAACTTGCAATTTTACACAAGATGTCATTGCTAATTTTACTCAAAATGCGTTTCTTTTATTAAAAAAACAACGCATTTAAGTACTTTTTCATCACCCAAAACAACGTTTTCGACTTTCAGGCCTAAACAGTAACCAATAACAGAACAGTACGTGTTTTTTTTTATTCAGGGGTTCCGTGCGGCCTAGTTTTACATACAGATTTAACGTCAACTGTAGGCTTACCTCAATTTCACTGCTTTTACCGAGCGTTTAAAAGCCGCCATTTTATGAGCCCATTGTACGATTTTGATCACGTGATCATCCGCAGTGGTACATGTTCTCCACATAAAAGTTATCCCGTTATGTTTTTACTGACATATTTGGTCTATATTAAAAAATGTTCTACTTATTTTGCTTATGGTTTTGATTCATAAAAATCGTGTTTCGCTGTACTCTGCCTGGGACAAATTAGTGCAATTATTATGATGCTATATCGTCTATATAATAATCATTTGTTTATTTTATCAGTCAGACTAACTAACATTCTTTGCAATTAAACTAGAACATAAACATAGATGTGACCCCTAGATTTTTCTTGAAAAAAAAAATACCCGACTGAACGGCAGTTTATTCGAAATGACTGAATAATGTTTTGTACTGCGCATTTAAATATGATAAAAAAATAAATTAACATTTGTAATAAATGTTTATTCAAATTATCATATGGATCCATAACGAACCTATTTACCGATATATCAAATAATGAAAGTGAACATGTTCAGCCGATTGCTCCCCTCTATTTTTGAATTTTCAATGGTCATGTGAGAAACTCCGGACCAATGAAAATACTCCGTTCAAAAATAAAAGGACTAGTTACTTTCATTTTACATATCAGGAAAAATCGTGTTTCGCTGTACTCTGCCTGGGACAAATTAGTGCAATTATTATGATCCTATATCGTCTATATAATAATCATTTGTTTATTTTATCAGTCAGACTAACTAACATTCTTTGCAATTAAACTAGAACATAAACATAGATGTGACCCCTAGATTTTTCTTGAAAAAAAATACCCGACTGAACGGCAGTTTATTCGAAATGACTGAATAATGTTTTGTACTGCGCATTTAAATATGATAAAAAAATAAATTAACATTTGTAATAAATGTTTATTCAAATTATCATATGGATCCATAACGAACCTTTTTACCGATATATCAAATAATGAAAGTGAACATGTTCAGCCGATTGCTCCCCTCTATTTTTGAATTTTCAATGGTCATGTGAGAAACTCCGGACCAATGAAAATACTCCGTTCAAAAATAAAAGGACTAGTTACTTTCATTTTACATATCAGGAAAAGGTCGTTTTAGTTTTATATTATAAAACTTAATATGCACAACATAATTACATTAGTCAAGGGTCAACTTTAGTAACTGAATATATTTGCTGGTACCCCTGGATAAGATTGTAAGATCTAATAAATACATAATGCCGAGGCTTGACTATTAGCTGTTCACGGTTTTCCATAGTTGTTATTAGTGTTTGCTTTAAGTGAAAACGTAATTGGAAGATGTAAAGCAAACACATGTTATGTATCGTATTTTTGCCAGGTTGTTTCTTTCTTTTGACTATGCCGAAAAAGAAAAAAAAACATCTACATGGTGCAAATCAGCCATCAAATTGTATATGCATTTCTACTATTATAAAAGTAAATTAACTCATCCGTAATGTAATCGCTACCGATTTTACAATGAAGTTACTTTTAAAAACATACATATGTATACACCGTCAATTGCATACTTTATTTGAAGACTGTGTTACAGTATACCCTGACTTGGTTAACAATGAGGTACTTGTGTCTACACTGACAGAAAATGCCAAATTTTCAAAGGTTTTCGCCCAGTTACCCTCCTGATCAGTGAGGCATCTTACGGGGCACAGGAAAGTTTTAGAGCGGTGTTATTTTCTTGCAACATGACGCACATCGCCAGTCACATTACTTACTGTGCAATCATCGTACGGTGACTCTTTATACGGGTATAATCCGTGCGTTATCCGGTCGGCTATCTGACAGTATTTGTATGATATATCTTCTCCCTTACCTTCCATACCTTCTCCCATCTTCTGCTGGTATTTGCTCTTGATTTTTGGAAGAAGTGCTTGCCCTCTTTCCCTCTGACTTCAATCCCTCCCTTTCTTTGTTGGCTCATTTAGAAGGCATATTAGACTTTGAAATCAAAGTTTTCTAATAACGATTGTAATTTAAGTTTTACACGTTTAAAAGACACCTGACGTGAAATTGAACTTAAGAGAACGTGTGTGAAACTGGTCACAGGTTGCCCATATGGGCGATTCCCTTTCAGAATTCAAATTTGTTAGGAATATTGGAAATTCCCAAGCTGGAAAACGTCGAAAAGAAGGAACTTAAATTACAACAAACATGTAAACGCAGCAACGATGGGCAGTCTTCAAGAATAGTTATAATATTTCGGTTTATGTTCAGGACAAATTTTAGAGCCTCCACACAAAAACATTTGTAACACTGATGCGCAAATGAAATAGAGAAAAACGGATTCATTAAAGAATATCGACAAAATATCTATACGTCCAGATATCAAATACCTATACTTAATAACATCACCGTCATTCTATCAATCTATTGAATGGAAGCACAGAAGGCGCTGAATTTGTTTGGGTCTCAGAATGTCAGGTGGGTGAAGGTTGTGAGATTATAAACCAATTTGATTTTGTATAGTGCCACCAATGCTTTCCAACGTTTTAATTGTAGTAAACTGGCTATAAGACTAATTGCAACACCGATATTCAATTCAATGTTTATTTGACTGAAACAATTTGAAATAAAAATGAGTTGCCTTAACTGGGATTTGAACTCCAGACCTTTTGCTTCCTAAGCGAGCGTGCAAACCCCTCGGCCACGGTGAAGTTATATATTAACGGTCTGAAGAAAACCATATTATTCTAAATTAGGGTTTGGTGTTTAACACAGATGTAAATAATTAAGCATGTATATCTATAACTACTATGCGCCTGTCATATGACCATCTTTACGCAGTGATCTCCCCTGAATTTTTCGGTGTTAGTGTACATATAGAGGGGAGTAACCGCTTCAGAAATGCGGACTACTTTCGGCATTTGCAATTAACAGCATCAGAGTCTGAAATTTCGCTACCATTATCTGACGACCCAAACAAATAAAAACCAAAGCAAACAGGTTCAAATGTACACCATTCACTGTGAGAACAATAAATAAAATCAACGGCCGTATATATTTTGAATATATTTTTTAAACATTACAGATATAAATGCAAGATAAGTGTTTACAAATTCAAATATGTGCAGTGAATGTCCCTTTAATAATTTAACATTTGGTGTACATCGTATCTTTGGTGTTCAAAATAAACACATAGTTACTTTCATAGTTAAACTATCAAATGCCTATTTGATAAACTTTAGGGTCATTCTACAAACACAATCAAATATTCAACCTGTGCAATTCAAAAGTTCCTTATAAAAGTGTCAACTTGATAATCGTGTTGATCTATGTCGAGCGCTCTGCACACATTCATCAATTTCCTCTTTACTTCGATCGGATTTGAGCCGGAAACAGCAACATTTCCAAACAGTTTGTCATAGGTAGACACATGCCAAAAATCATCTACTTGTAAGGACTGCAGAAAGAACACATCGCCACTATCAATCATTTCATTCAACTTACTTTTGTAGTGATCATCTGTAAGGAGTTTTCCATGTAAAGATGGTATCACCATTACGCCCATCTGTATTGTGTCTGTTGAACTGTTTGGTATTTCAGGTTTTATTCCACAAGATATCATCATTGTATATAACATGATATCGATTCCGTACAACTTCAGTATCCAATCCCGGAAGATATATCCGCACATTCTTGGAATAAAATAAAAAAAAATTCTTGGATTGATTTCTAACAATTTCGGGCCGTTTGCTGTCATTATAAACTCAACACTGAACGTTCCATCTGTAAGACCTTTTGATATATAATTGTATATTATTTATACGTTTTCATTTGTAAAAAAAATCCTAAAATGAAAATATAATTATTATTTTCTCCCCCTTTTCTTTGGAATTATAGCATATCACCACAAATAGATGATATATGAAATCAAAGATATCTTACATTTATTATTTTCATTTTACTAATAGTATACTTGTAGTATTATCATTTTATCTTTAACGGCATGTACATGGATATTAAGACTCTTAAATATTGATATTACCTATCCCTAAACAGCATTTAAAGGCAGCGTCTATCAGCTGATTGCGGCTGTCGTCTGGTAGAAATGAAGGCATCCGTTTAGCAGTACCTTATCAATATAAAATATAATACATTTTACTTGGACACGTTTTAACATAAAAAAGTCTCCTTTTTTTCTTAACTTTTTCGTTTTTAAGAAGGTTTTTTTTATTAATATTATTCATTGATTGATTGATACATTTATAGATTTCAGGGATATTCGGACTTGCTTCCACAAAACTTTCAGTTTTCACGTAAACTCGAACTATTTGTTTGTAAAAATGTAACATTGTCATTATGAAAAGAAAGATGAACAAGGAAAAGCGTCTTTAACTGAACGCACCCTACAATAAATACACAACCACACATGACCACCGATAAGGCAGCAAACAGAGATACGAAGTTAAGCAGAGGGCGATGCATATTTTGTGAAGATGTAACTTTTGCAATTACTTTTGGACTGTCTGTGTTATATAATTTCATTGTATTTTATCAGTCTTAACACTTGCTTGACAGTATGACATACCATTAAGCTTATATTGAGTACAACGCGGATTATCTTAAAAATAACCCTCTTCGCATCTTTCTTTAATCAGTTCGGTATTAGAATGTAAAAAAAGAAGATTTCTTCTTTAAAGACGTATTGTTTAAAAAAACGTTACCTATATAAATTGGCTGTCGTACTATTCCACTGTCAGTTATAAAAGCCCATACAAGAGTTTTGTCATATAACATGACATCGACATTGTGCTCAGTACCATTGTAAAACTCAAATGTTGTCATTGAATTGCCTCGACTCAGTCCAATCCTTGGAAAGTCCGAATCGGTGCACAGAGAGCTTGTAATTTGTTGAAATTGTTTCTTCAATTCTTCTTTGCTTTTAACCATGCAAGCTCCGATGCCTCCTGAACAATTATCTAGTTTCAGTATCGCCGGAAACTTAAAACTGATAATGATCAAGCATGAATAAATTGAACTTAATTAGATTAGTGAGTTTCAAATTTGGGATATGTACTTTCAAAAAATACCTAAAAAATACATTTTTCTATATACAAGTATATAAAGTATGTGACCTTAGGTGGGTTGGGGCAATCCAGGAAAATAATCCATATAACCTCTGTAGACTATTACAAGTGGCTGCTGCAAACCAGACATCTTAGCATTTGTAGAAAATAGAAATGTTTTAAGTCAATGTAAACTAAATTGCCTCTGCGTGGGTAACTAAGGAACTACGATTTTCTCTCAGAATTCTAATATTTGAGGACAAGATTTTCAAGAGACACTTCCTAACAATATCGATGTAAAACATTTGTCCACGGTAAGGCCATTTTTGATCTTTATAAAACTTTTGTAAGGGCCATAAGGCAGATCTTCATGTCAATAATCAGAACTGCGGGCTATTTTGTTTAAAGCAGTTTTTTTTTCTATGTAATAAATAGAATGACCTTCTGGGCTAGGTCTGCTTTTACTCCTGGGGAGAGATTTATATAAATGTTGTAATGATTAGCTTCGCAATTCTACATGCCAAATATCCAAGCTTTATGACACCAATTACTTTTACAGCGGTATTTTAATAATTGTTTTCATATACACATAAGTCCATTAAAACTTACTGTACAAAGAGAGGGTCTTTTTACAAAAGGGCGGGTGAGACCCTGCTTTACTTTTGTACAAGTCCACTTGGTAACGCTTCATTTGAATATCAGAACTCTATGACATTTTGTTTCACCATTTTAAATGCGTCATATGACTGTAAATATAGTAACCGTCATGAATTTGCCCTTGGGCTATGATTTACGAGTAAATCTGTGGTAGCGAAAGAAAGGTGATGCATCATGCCAAATATCTAAAATAAAGGACAAAGAAGAATCTAAAGTGGCATATGTGAAAATGTTGAAAAGGCTCGATTTGATTGGGCTTGATTTGCATCTCTTTGAATTCAAGTTTGGACGCACGACCTTGCACATGTATATCGAGTAAATTCACTTGAAGAACTTTTTGCGCCGGTCCGGATAATTTAATGAAAGTAAAATAAACTTTTTGCTGTTTTGAACGTCCTTTGTGGATTTTCTTTCTTCTTTTCTTTTGTATTCAAACATTATCTAATTCATCGTTTAAACGTGAACCCACTTAAGATGGTCAGCGCATTATAACGGGTGATGAATACGTACTTCCGTTTAACCCAAAGAAAGACAGAAAGATAGAATAAAAGAAAATGAACGAAAGACAGAAACAAACATGCAGTTTGAAATGAAAAAGTTTAAATTATGTTTTGTTAAGTCTAATTTAGCTTTTGTTATTTACACCAATAAATAGACTAGGCCGGTTAAATAACTTTTGTTGAGAGTTATCTTAGGAAAATTCTTCTGTGTGGTTTAAAAAAATGTTACTTCAAAAAACAGTACTATAGATAACTACACACGATGGACGATGGACTTCAAACTCACAAAAGCTCACCTCTCAATTTGTGATAAGCTAAAATGAAAAAAGAATGCCGACGCCAACCTTTCCGGTAAAGTATCACAGTCCAGATCACTTCTTAGATGAACTGCCTGTGTAGAATATACATCTATAGTTTGCACATCGTCAATTTTTATTTTACTCTTGCTCAATACATTCTGTGTTTGTGATTTCGAGCTCGCTACGATGGCGGACTTATAACTCACACCTGAAATAGTTATTATTATAAATAATGTTAACGTGAATTCTGCTAATAATGATAACGTTGCGGAGAAACTTAAAATACATTTTTTTTTGTATAATGATATTACTCTCAGCAAAAAGAGGTTAAAGCAAAATGTAATACATTTACACAACATTGTTTCGTCATTTCGAAAAGTAATTTAAACTAAATAATTATTATCTATGTTCTATGCATTGTGGTTAAAAGCGGCTTTCAGCTTTTGTTTTATTTATTTATTTTATGTGTTTCAAACTAAGAATTTCAGTAATTGTATCTTGGAAAGGTGCATCATATCACTGTTAGGTCATTTTCAAAACATTGGAGCTATATTCATAGGGCATAAGTGACGTTCGTTTAAAGGGAAACAAATCGTCCGCTTTACTAATTTACATATAGAGAGATCGGTAGATAAGAGGTATTGAGGGTTGCCTTATTGTTTATGTACTTTATCGACGGGGCAATTCTATTTTACATCTAAATTATTTTGATTTGTAAATCCTATGAAACGTTTTATCTAAAAAACAATTATTTAACCTTTTGAAAAGCTGAAGGCCGCTTTAAATCTGTAAGGTATATTATACATTTACAAAACGATACGTTGTCGGACGAACTATCTAATTATCTAATTACCGTATATGATATAGATGGCTTCACAGATGAAAACACTTCAAAAGTTATAAGAAAAACAATATGAAAATGTACCTCTTAATTCTAATTGTTCACATATTAATGCCGCCAAAGGTGTACATTCGTTACAAAATGAAATACAACCATCAGCCTTAATTTCTCGTCTGCGTAATAAACTTATGATTTCACTGGCATGCACGTGGTCAATCGTATGATCAGAGAAATCATACTCCACAAAACAATGAACAAGATCTCGTGCAATATGATTTGGGTTAGATTCCGCAATTATGACCTGATAATATTAGAAACACTGTGAATATAGTAACAAAACAAATCAACCAACCATACCAAATTAAAGTCTATATATTACCAAAGACATGCATAAATTTATTTTGGCTGATTTTACCTTTAATTCGTAAAAATCTAATTCTAAATAATATCTTAATCGCTATATAGATATTAAACACATACTTAAATAAACGCTTATATTTTAAAACATCATGCATTGCAATGAATTTATCATGTAAGACTTCAACGACATGTTGTTATTAACTTATAATATACATGTATACGTGCCTTTATGCCATATCCTTCAGCATCCGGCCACATGGTTCTCATTCTATACGATCCCCCACCAATTACAACAATGTGTTTTCCATCCATAAGGAGGCAATACTACTTCGTATATTAACAATCTGCTTTAAAATGAGACACAGTGTTAGAATCCACGGTAAGATGAAGATATTTAACAATACTGTTGCAAAAGTTGCTTTGTTATATATTACCTGTGTACATGACATTAAGATACTTTTTAAGGAACGAAGAGTTAGCAATGACTTTGAACATCAAAGAATATTCCGCATTCCGCGTTAGCTTGGAACTTTTAGCCAGCTCGAAGATCGATATCCATCAATTTTATGTCTACTTTTAATATCTAGTCAGCCCAGAGATCGGCATTTAAAATCATTCTCGAATATCTAAATCCAAAAGTAAATTAACTGAACTTCGTGTTGTTCTTGAATTTTGAGGCAACTCGAAGATCGAAAATCCTAATCATAACGTATTGAATTTCGTGCTGGAGTTGTATTTCGAGGCAGCTCGAAGAGTGAAATTGAAAATCGTTCAAAGATGGATATCGAGCTAGAGTTGAATTTCGAGCCACATATAAATTCAAATCAAATATGAAATTCAACTTATGTTACTTTTAGTTTTCGATCATAAAGCTGGTCTGAAATACAACTTCAGCACGAAATTTAATTTATGTAAGGATCATAAATGTAGATTAACGAGCTATCTGGTAATTCAAATCAAGCAGGAAATTCAACTAATGTGACTTTTGGATTCCGAACTTTGGACTTACTAGAAATATAACTCCGGCTCGAAATTAACCTTTGCATGATTCTTAATTTTGTTCTCAGAGCTAGCTAGAGATTCGAAGAAAACTCGCTTTTGATGAATATCGATTGATGTTCGATGTCACTGCTTACTTCTCGTTACTCTCATTTGTAAGAATTCATACATATGTATTTTATGAAAGATAAGATTGTAAAATCTTTACATAACTTTAATTTAAAGGTAGATAGGAGTAATAAACAATAAAAAAGTTGAATTTTTGTCGATGAGATTATAAATATTACTAATAACCTATCACATTTGGTTGTCATTTTGGTCTTAAACATTTTAATAAAATTCTCTTCATCAATCAAGCACGATACATTTTATTACATTGCGGTTATCTTTAACAATTTTATCGGCACTTTTGCAATATCACATTAATAAAATAAACGAGAATCATTCTAGAGAACTATAAAAAAAAAAAAATAAAACTGTAGTACCCGTTTAAAGGAAAATAATCATTTGACCGTACATTAATATATATGATGCTTCAATCTATTAAATATCTTTTAAACTGATCTATTGTTTTCTTTAATCATAATAAGAAAACAAAAACAACAAAAACATGCGATAACAAGAATTATATCGTCTGTTCGCTTTCTGTACGCGGGGTTAAAAAAATATTTATTGGAAAAAACACAAAAAACAAAACGAAACAAAAAAAAAAAAAAAAAAAAAAAAAAACACACACACACAAACAAAAAAAAAACATTCATTTTGAAGATAAAGAATTATATTGATTATTATGATCTTACAAATCGAAAGTAGCGATTGACATGTGTTGGCGATATTTCAAATTTTAGCCTGGTCTTATGTCAGTCAAAGCTTGAATTTTGTTGATAATCAAATATTAATTAGCAATCAGTGTTGTTTTTTTTACTTAAATGTATCGGAAATATTAGCTATATTCCATTTTGATGTTCGATATCGTCCCCGTTTTTTAATATGCAAGCATTATAGATTCTTGTTTTGTTTTCATATTTAAAAAAAAGAAGATAATTATCGGCATTAGTTAACATGTCTCTTCATTGGCTATGTAAAATAGCGCCTCTGTAGGAGATCATATTTAAATTATTAGCTTATTGATTCGTCATGGATCATAATTATACTTCTTTTTTACATGTCATTTCATTCACTGTTGTATAGACTTTATATGTATAGTTTGAAATTTGGTTTTTAGCATTTATCGACGAGTCAAGTGTAAATGGTTTATTATGATATCCATTATCACTTTGACAAATAATTAAGCATTTCTTTTACAAGGTGCTTTATTGTGAATTTTGAAGTTTATCAAACCCAGACGAAATTCGTCGGCTTGTATTTGTCAGTTTTAAATGAAATTTATTCTCTAACAAAAACTCACACACGCACACTCAAAAACCATAAACAAAAAACATCATAATAACATTTGAGTGAATAGGGTTCGAATCTATGAGTGAAAAATCACTTAAAAGCACAATGACATTGATTTACCAACATAGCCAGAACGATGATACACATTCTTCTTAAAAATAATAATAAAAATAAAATATAAAAAATTTAATGTTGTAGAAATGTTATTTTAACAAACGACATTTAATGAAGTTTTAAAGATAATTAGTGTCATTAAAGGATAATTCAAAAGAAAAAATCACTTTCAGAGAACTTTTTTATTCGTTTAGTGTTAAAATAACATTTCTACAACATTAAAATTTTTGGCCGCCAGGCCGCTAGGCCGCCAACTTCACAAAAATGACAAAATAAAAAAGTTCTCAGAAAGTGATTATTTCTTTTTATATATCCTTTAAATAACAATAATTATCTTTAAAACTTCATTTCATTAAATGCCGTTTTATTGTTAAAATAACATTTCAACAACATTAAAATTTTTGGCCGTCAGGCCGCTGGGCTGCCAGACCGCCAACTTCACAAAAATGAGAACATAAAAAAGTTCTCTGAAAGTGATTTTTTCTTTTTATATATCCTTTAAATAACACTAATTATCTTTAAAGCTTCATTAAATGCCGTTTTAGTGTTAAAATAACATTTCTACAACATTAAAATTTTTGGCCGCCAGGCCGCTGGGCCGCCAACTTCACAAAAATGACAAAATAAAAAAGTTCTCAGAAAGTGATTATTTCTTTTTATATATCCTTTAAATAACAATAATTATCTTTAAAACTTCATTAAATGCCGTTTTATTGTTAAAATAACATTTCAACAACATTAAAAATTTTGGCTGTCAGGCCGCTGGGCTGCCAGGCCGCCAACTTCACAAAAATGAGAACATAAAAAAGTTCTCTGAAAGTGATTTTTTCTTTTTATATATCCTTTAAATAACAATGATTATCTTTAAAACTTCATTAAATGCCGTTTTATTGTTAAAATAACATTTCTACAACACTAAAATTTTTGGCCAACTTCACAAAAATGAGAAAATAAAAAAGTTATCTGAAAGTGATTTTTTCTTTTTATATATCCCTTAAATAACAATAATTATCTCTAAAACTTCATTAAATGCCGTTTTATTGTTAAAATAACATTTCTACAACATTAAAAGTTTGGCCGCCAGGCCGCTGGGCCGCCAACTTCAGGCCGCTGGGCCGCCAACTTCACGCCGCCAGGCCGCTGGGCCGCTGGGCTGCCAACTTCACGCCGCCAGGCCGCTGGGCCGCCAACTTCACACATCTACAAAATTTCTTGATAACAGTAATTTGGAACCCCTTTTAGCCTAGTAATTTTCATTGCTTAGCACCTTTTCCTTTCTATTTGCTTTTGTACACAAATAATTATATGTCTAATATGGTGTCAATGCCTTAATTTCCAGTAAAATGTGATATATTACAAAACATTTCACCGAGAAATAAATGTATATTCTATTAAAAAACTTGTTTAAAAAAAGAAAAAAAGAAAGATATTCCGATACCTCAAGAAATAAGTTTATCAGTTTTGTTATTATTTCACGACATGTACATTATGAATATTTATCTCGTCAAATTCTTATCTATTAGATTTTTTTGTACGACATTTATCTAAATGTATCACAGATTCATTGGTATGTTGTTATTCGCCACAAATTTTGGTATTGTTATTGCAACGAACAAAATGTGTGTTTAAATTTGAAAAGTTTAATTAGCATACGGAACTAGAATTTATTTTATAAAATTTAGTCAATAGATGTCAGTTTTGAGTGTTAATGTTAAATAATGCACTGTTCGGGTAATATAATCATTAAGGTCAGTAGGTCAGAGTGATTATTTACAAAGGCATTGAACGATTAACCATGCATTATGTAATGAATACAGAATGAGTTTTTCTTCAAAGGTAAAAGTGTCTCCTTAGAAAGTTTGCTTGGATAAGCAACAAATTGTCCAAGGTGAAGCCGAGATAAATTGTTGTGTGTCCATAAGAGAACTTTTTAAAATGATTTCAACGATAAAATAGCGAATAATAAAAAATCTCTAAAGAATGCCTTTAACGAAAAAAAAAATGTTGCAGGATCGGTTTGGTTGAGTCTGTTCATGGACGCCACCTAGCACCGGTTTAATCAGTATTCGACATTTAACATTTGGAATTTGATAAGCCATGCATTATAGTGCTACAACAGTAACTTTGCTTAACTTAATTTTTTTTGGTAAGGATTTCATCTATTTATGAAGTGCAAGCATATTCATACAAAGAATATTTCAATAAGAATAGTATAATATACGTATCATTATCTGTTTTAAAGTTTACTTTTGTTTGTGTAAATATTCATCATCAATACTTATGCCGAGCAAAAGCCCCTCTGATTGATACAAATGTAAACACAATGTTGAAAGAAAGAGGAAATAAATAAAACGAAAATAAATCTGTATAGTTTCCAAAATTTTTACAGTGCATTTTTAAGACAATTCAGTTGGAAAGCAACGCATGAAAATATGC